GAACCTCCTGACCCGCTGCAAGATGGCGGAGGGGAGAGTGAGTGGTAGCATAGCAGAAGAGGTCTGCAGTGTTCGGAGGATCCTTGAGAGAACATGTAAATTCACCCAGCAGGATGAACAGCTTGTGCAGAAAAAAATGGAAGCTCTGAAAACCACCCTTCCATGCTCTGGCTTGGGCATCTCAGAGAAAGAGCGAGTACAGATCATCAAAGCCATGAACTTACCTCGTGGCCACTGGTTCAAGTGCCCCAATGGCCACATCTATGCGATTGGCGACTGTGGGGGAGCCATGCAGAGGAGCACGTGTCCTGACTGTAAGGAGGTGATTGGGGGTACAAATCATACTCTGGAAAGGAGCAACCAGCTTGCCTCCGAGATGGATGGAGCCCGGCACGCTGCTTGGTCTGATACGGCCAACAACATGATGAACTTTGAAGAGATACAAAGGATGATGTAGGAAGATGGCACACCGCTGCCTTTTGCCCCAGCCACCTTATGGCTGGAGTCGGCTCCCTGATGAAGGAACCGACGTTGGTTTTTTATTGCCCTTTAGTCTCAGTACCTATTTAAGAATCTACTGTTAAGGCTGGCCTACATTTGTTTCTAGATTGACCCCTGCGCTAGAGTAAGCACTTTACCTCCTCCACCAAGAGCAGAATTAACAGTTCTTTTTTTCCCGCAAGTTAGTGGGCAGACTCCCTGGAGCATGTTTGGGGCACCTACCTAGGGCTACGTAGTGCCATCTCTGGGTCCTGACTTGGTCAGATGTTTTTTCCTGCAGTGCTCCAGGAGCAGAGTGTGAGCTCAGTGGAGCAGACTCATGCTAAGTGCCAGGCCCTAACTTGCAGATTAACTCTCATTCTGATAAAACAGGCTCAGAGTTGTTGTTTATAAACTGCTTATCTTTTTAAGGAGCACAAGAATCCCTCTTGCCCTTCTCCTCGGGCACCCTCACTCCAGGAGATGGAGGCATGTGATGACAAAGACTTCACTGACTGACCCAGTTACATATGAGAAAAGTGTGACTACCCACAGCTGGTGGCTTGTGCAAGAGGCCCTGGCTAACTAAGGAGTGATCCCCACACCCTTTCCTGTGACTTGCACTTTCGGATGCTGGAGGTTTCTTTGCCTACAGTAGGAAAGGTTCAGTAGCAGTGCTGGCTCCCAGGGTCCCTGAATGGAACTAAACTCACATTTGGTACCAGCAGCACACTGTCTATTGCAGCTTTTGCCTGGGCAGGGTTAGCATGCCAGCAGCTTCTGCAGGCCCCAGACCCGTGCCAGAAGCCAGCCCTTCAGGCCCGCTGCCTGCATATATATTCCCTCAGTGTTCCCTAGAACAGACACTTAGGCATCTCAGGTCTTTCTAATGTTGGCAAGAAAAACGTCCCTTTCCTATGTATGCATTTCTTTTTTTGTCTTTACTATGCACTTTAGCCTTTAAAGCCAATTAATAAAAACAGTGATTGAGAAAAATGTCTGTGTTTGTCCTCAACTATTAGAAGCAACTCAGGCAGCTTGAGGATGGGAATGGAGGCACTGTCTTCAAGGCCATTTGTTTATGGTTTGGGTTTTTTATGTAGTTGGTGAGTCATTTTTACTCACGGTAAAAAGGAAGTTTTTTTAACCCGTACAAAAGGGTGTATATTAGAAGTTTCCTTCCCCAAAGGCAACAATAAGCTTCATGAGCCCTCCCAGATATAATCTATGCATGTGCATTATATAGCCCTTAAGAAGAAAGCACACAGTTCTGCATTTGGCTTTTTTAGCCTAGTGACCTAGCTTGGGGATCTTTCTGTAGGACTGTACAAACAGTAAGTCTGAACCACATTCCATCATGCAGGTGTGTCACTATCTATTGAATTAGAACTTTCTGTTGGTAACTGTTACGGGTAGCCTAAATGAAAAGCTTTGCACACACTCTTCAGTATGGAGTATGTGTTACTAGATTACATAATTTTTTAGCTGGGGGCGGGGGGAATCTATGTACTCCCTGAAATTATATGACTTAAACTACAGTTTTCTCAAGGGGTGTCCCCTAGCTTTCATGTAATTCTCAAAGGGACTTGTGATTCAGAAAAAGATAAGAACCACCATTGTACAGGGTAAAAGCTGGGTGGGGTTTTTTGGTTTTTGGGGGGGTTTTTTTGCAACAAGGAACTAATTTATCTGGGGATTCCTTTCCGCTTTGAGCTTCCATCTCTCCAGTAGCACACCATAGTTAAGAGTTAGGGTCTGGCTTTCAGGTAGACCCTGGTTTCAAAAACCTGAATTCCCAACTGTGTAATGGGAAGTTACTCCATCTCTCCAAGCCTCTGTTATCTGCAAAGTGGGGACAACAGTACCTGTCTCACAGGGGTGTAGTGAACGGAATGAGGCAGTGTTCAGTACAGAATGTCTAGTACACCGTTGGTGCTCAATAAATGACAACTTTTAGTTCTAGGACATCAACAGAAGAGAACTAGTAAGAATTCTCTCCACGTCCAGCTTCTCTACAAGCACAAAGATACATTCCAAATAATGTGGCAGTGCCAAGCCTAGCAGACGGAGTAGACTGTGCTACAGAGGGAAGAGACGGGAATAAAATATACAATCAGTTGGTTTCTTCCCCTTCCCCCGAAAATACTTCTTCCATTTGGTATATTCTTTATGTGAAAGCTAATCAGCAGGAGGGGGCCCCGGCTGACTTTTTTTCCTTTTTTTTTTTAATGTACAAATGACAGACTTAAAAAAAATTTTTTTTTTAAATGGAGTGAAGACTAAGCCAGGATGACTTCTCACAAGGACGAGATCTAAGGGCCACCCCATGAACTTCTTCAGGCCACCATGGCTACTTCCTTCTCTTGTACCTATTAAGAAAATCAAGGAGTCAAATATATGGTCATGGAAGAATAGCCTTTGGGTGGTGAGCACCCAAAGCAATATACAGAAATATGTTATAGAGCCACACACCTGAAACTTACCTAGGTTGTTAACCAATGTTAACTCCAATAAATTTTAAAAGTTTTTAAAAACAGCAGACTAAAAGACCAATCTGCAAGACCAGAAAGGAAAGAGAAGCTCCTTTCCCATGAAAGGTTTCTTCTCCAATCCCAAAGTCAACCTCTGGCCCTCCAAAACCATAAACATTACCTGGATTTAGATTTAAAGTTTCCTCCTCGTCTCTGGTGGGGCAAGCCCAACTGTTTCCTTTCTTCAAAGGAGGGGCTGTGGGTGAGAGAAATGAGATGCTGAAACAGTAAACTGTTGGAAAAATGGGCAATGCTTCACCCCCACCTGCCCCAGCTCCCACACGAAGCAGCAGCATCAATGGATGCATCATATTCAGGTCCCAAGGTTTTAAACCTGTGTGTTTCCACATGATGATATGGGTTTGTGGAAGCCCTCCCCTCATGTGTATAATAAAACCACTTGGGAAGTATAGTCTATCCCTACTCCAACACAAGCCCAGGGAACTGGGGAGCAGGGGTGGACAACACATTCCTAAGAGCAAACCAGGATCCTTTGGGGTTATATCACTCTCCTGAGGGAAAGCTCTATTTCTGAACCCAAAATGTGCCATCTCACCGCCAAGATAGGGCCTCGCCACCTCTCTCCTTTTCTCACCCTGGGATTCACAGGCGGGTCGGGGGGTGGCCATAGAAATTCTTGGAATTATATATTATAAAGCTATACGTATATGAGAATTGGGAGTGGGGAAAGAAGAGGATCACAGCTTTCGTCAAAATTCCAAGAGCTCCATGATGACTTAAAACCCCTACCCAGCTCGATACTGTTTCAAGGCCTTCTTGCTCGTGTTGGTGAGTTCTTCATCAAATACAGATTTCTTCACCTGTTTTTGCTTCTTGGCTGTGCACAGAAACAATAGGTTAGATATGTCCTCTTTGGCCCAAGCTCCTAAATCCTCTTAAGCTCAGGGAAATGGTTCTAAGTTCAGTGGATGCTCTGGCCTGATGATTTATTGACATGGAGGTGAGACATTAGATCCTGGCAGAAAAGGAATAATCAGAAGTACCAGGTGTGAAGGAACCACTCCAAAGAATGATTGCAGAGTCCAAAGTGAAATGGACCATTTACATGTGAAATGGATCAAAGACTGTCTTCACTTCATTCTACCCTGACCTGTTCCTCCAAGTCATGGTTGACAAGGACTTAGACTCCAGAGTCACAAAGGCCTGGGTTCAAATCCTAGCTATTCCCACTAACTGCAGGGTCCCTTCACCACATGGATCCAATAAAGGTATAGCTGTACACACTAATACATACTTATTACTCAAAAAAATGTGCGCTATTATCATCATCCCTCCAATTTTCTCCCTGACCACAAGCACAGGTTTTCGGGAGAACATTCCTACCCTCTTCTATGGGCTCACTGTATGCCTACCAGGGCCTCTCGCAGGCTCGTCCTCAGGCATTGCTCTGGCCCGCTTCGCTCTGCGATTCCTCTTCGCCAGCCGCTCAGCAAACATCTGTGCCTTGAGGATTTCAAACTGGGACCTTTCCTCTGCCTAGGGAGAGAATGACACGTGAGTTATGGTAAAGACTAGGCAGCCCTAACCCATTCCTCTGGGCACGGACCCAACGCCAAAGGGGAGGCCACTCACTGTCATCTCCCCCTTTTTCTTGGCATCTTTCATAAACTTCTTCCTTTTTTTCTTTCCTCTTAAGGCCAGGTCAAACTCCTGCAGAGCCTTAGCAACTGGAATGAAAAGAGAGCGTAAGATCTTAGGTACCACTTTATATCTTTTATTAAGCTTACAGTAAGAAGTGCACATATTTTAAATTAGTAAGTAAGAGCTTAGAATGAGAAGCAGCGGTCACTTCCTCTCCTGGTGGTTATCTCCACTTCTTGATTAATCCATTTCAGACATTCATTATCTATCTCCTATTGTGAAAGATGAGTATTTAGTTAACTTATGCCCCCGCACACCTTCCCACATTATAGTTATAATTCTATTTTTAATATAGAAATTTAACAAACATACACCCTAATTGTTTTGTCCCATTATATATAAGCGGTATTTCTTAAATTGCTGGTAGAACCTCTTTGGAGAGTAATTTTGCAATCTGTAACAAAATAATAAATACACATACCCCTGACCTACAATTCTATTTTTAGGAATTTATCCTGTAAATCAAATATACTTGCTTAATTGTGAAAGGACATCTGTACAAAGTTATTCACTATATAACTTGTTTATAATAGCAAAAGATTAGAAACAACCTCATTGTCCCTCAACAGAAGATAAATTAAAGAAATTATAATCTACCCATAGGATGGAAGACCACATGGCCATATTCAAAAAGGAAAGAAAAAAAAGGCAGTGATATATACAACTATATAAAATGATCTCCAAGTCATACAATTAGTTTTTTAAAAAGCAGGGTATAGGACAATGTGAATTCATTTGTTTGTTTTTTTTTTTAAAGGGAGGAAGGGAACATATAAAAATATCTTCTTCACTTGCTTTTTGTTCAATTGTGGCAAAATATATAACATAAAATTTGCCATTTTACCTATTCTTAAGTACAATCAGCAGCATTAATTATATTCACAATATTGAACAACTATCACCATTATCTGTTTCTAAAACTTTTTCATCATCCCCAACAGAAGCTCTGTATCCATTAAGTAGTATTCCCTGCCCTAACCCCTGGTAATCACTATTCTACTTTCTGTTCCTATGAATTTATCTATTCAGAGACCTCATATAAGTGGAATCTTAAATATTTGTCCTTTTGTGTCTGGATTACTTCACTCAGCATGTTTTCACGGTTCATCCTTGCAGCATGCACCAGAACTTCATTATGGCTGAAGAATATTTCATTGTACGTACACATCACGTTTTGTGTCTCCATTCATCTACTGATGGACATGGGCTGCTTTCACCCTTTTTTGGATAATGTTTCAATGAACACTAGCATACAACTATCTATTTGAGTGCCTGTTTCCAATTCTTTTGGGTATTGACCTAAGAGTGGAATTGCTGGGTCCTATGAGTTCTATGTTTAGCTTTTTGAGGAACCTCCCCAACATACTTTTTTCCTTCTTCCTCTCTTCTTTGGTCTGGAACCAGCTCCTCTCAGGCTCGTGGTTTGATGCCTCCTTCCCCTTCTCCAGGAGCCGCTTTGCTGTGTTGATCTGTGGAGACAGCAATAGGGTGCCTGCCATGAAACCTCCATCTGACAATACATAACATGGCAGCTGCAGGAAGCCACTGCCGGCAAATTGTTGGGGCTCTGATGATATGTATGGCAGATACGGCATTTCAGAAGGGCTGAACCAGCAGGGGCTGACGCAGTGTGCTCACTGCGCAGCGCTGCATACAGAGGCCTCCTCATGGCCTCACCTGGGCTTCGGACTGTTGCATCTCTTTTTCCTCTGCCTCTAGTTGGAGAACTGCATACACATCTTTCTCCATTTTCTCAATCTTGTCCCGGAATTTGAGGATGACATCTCGAGGGAAGAGAATCAAAAAAGATTTTAAAATAAGGGTGAATACTCTATTGCTGACGAGAATGATGTAGATATATCTTGTGACAGAGAAAAAAATTTTTTAATGTGTTACTTCTCTGCTTAACAGCCGTACCTCCGCCTCCCCACCCCCACCCCCCAATACACACACAAAAGGTTTCCTGTTGCTCTTAGAATAAATTCCGAACTCCCAAGCATGGCCCCTGCCCACCTCTCTGACCTTCTATCTCATCCTGCTCACCATGCCCTGGGCCCTCCGGCCTTCCTTCCCTTTTTCTCACACACCACATCTGTTCCTGCCTCACAGGCTTTGTCCTGGTTTTCTCTGCTTAGCACGCTCCATCCCCAGACTGCTCATGGCTGCCTCTTCTTGTCATCCAGGACTCATCTCATCTGTTCAGAGGCCTTTCCTGAACAGTTTTCCTAAAGTAGGCACCTCTCCTCCTATAGTTCTTGGTCACATCTTCTGTTAGCTTATTCATTATGTCTTTCTCCTGCCAGAGTATCAGCTATTTTGTGTCCTGCTGTGTCCCCGATATTTATTCTATTCCATTCTACATGTAATACATAGAGAAGATTTATTATAGTCTGCATTTATTCTGTAATAGAATAAATAGCACCGGGCACACAGTAGTACTCAATAATTGCTTGCTGATTGAATAAATGAAATGAAAATGAAACAAATGAAAGAAAAAGACATATATGAATGGAGAAAGTCAGAAAAAGATATGCACCTAGATACTAACAGTGGTTAGTTCCATGACATACAATTATATTTTTGCTCTTATTTTATTTATTAATTTCCAACACTGAACATGTATTATTTTTCTAACTTAGAAAATAACTTTTTAAAAGGGTGTGCTTTATATGACTCCTACAGATGAGAATAAAAGGAATGGAAGATATCCAAAAAGAATGAGTGCTGACCTCCTCCCCACACTGTGCCCCTCAAGGATCAGGGGGCTGGGTGAAGCGGGGAGGGAATTAGTGGGGATTTTACCCCAAGAAGAGTCCTTCTCTTCCCAAAGATTGGAAAATACCTATGAACGAGGCACTTGGGGCACAAGTCTATCATTATTTTGTTTTACACACAGAGAGACTGAAACACGGAGAGGCTGCCCAGGGTCACTTAGCAAAGAAGTGGCAGAGCGGGGTTTCAAATCTGGCTCCTGACTGCAAGGCTCCTGCTCTCATCCATTACTCTCTGCCCCTGCACCATTCCACAGAGATTGATCTTGGATCCCACCCCACCTTCCCAAACAGCCCTAGCTGCTGCAGCGGTGCCTGCTTACCTTGAGGAAGTATCCGGGCCTTCACAGGGGCCTTGGCAGCTTTCACGATCTCCTTCAGCATCTTCCGCTCCTCTTCTCCCACCAGAGAGACGGAGCGCCCAGCCCTGCCGGCACGCGCCGTTCGCCCCACCCGGTGGACGTAATGCTTGATGGTGTTGGGCATCGTGAAGTTGATTACCTGGAAGGTCGAAGCTGAGCATCAGTCAAACCTGGGAGTTGGGGGAAGAGCAGGTAAAAAGACTCCCACCAAAAGTTCAAGGAAGATGGAGCCTGCTCACTGTTTTGACCCCCTCGATGTCAAGTCCACGGGCTGCCACATCTGTGGCCACGAGGATGTCAATCTGTTCATCCTTAAAGCGCCTGGAAAGAATCACAAAGAGATGTTCATTCAGATTCCCAGCCCGATGTTCTGCCAGAGTCTGAGGTGGCAGAAAGAACACAAATCCGTTTGGAGTCAAGCAGCAGGTGCAGCTGTCACAGCAGGGACATATCCTAAATGTTGCCCATTGGCGTTTACACTCCTCCCTCAACAATCCATAAAGGGGAGCAAACATCATTTTGTGTATATCGCCTCAGGCAGTAATTCCTATATGAAAGTCTGGGAACCACAGAGCTAAGCTATCAAAGTAGCACAGGCAAATGCCTTAACATTCAAAACAGCCTTTCTTTAAAAAACGACTCTCGTCTGCGCGCGACAGGGACCGGTGAATTCCAAAGGGTCCCTCCTTGCCTCTCGGCTAATTCCATCCTGTGAGAATTAAACGAGGAATCACATGGAAAAGCACACTGCAAAGGATCTGGCAAAGTAAATGGTCAAGAAACAGTGGCTAACTGTGATTCCAAATCTCGCTCTATCAGACCAGGTTTGTCCACTGCTCTGGAAAAGCTGTAGAGAACAGAATGTATGCTGAGTGTTCCCAAGTCAGAATTTCCAAGCCACTCCGCGGCTCCCACATGCAAGTTCTGGGCACGAGTACCCTCTTCTGCGAGACTGTGAAGTCTGGCTTCTGACTGTACCTGAGATGGGACCTTCCGGGGCTTAGACTAAAACGTTCTCAGTGGGGAACTGTGCTACCTGCGTCCGCTGCTATTGCTCTAACACAACCTCTGGGTGGTTTTTTCCCTCTCTCGAATGAAGAGAGGCCTGTGTGACCTGCCTGTGAAGGTGGGGTGGGAGCCCGGCCCCTACCCCAAACTTTACCGGAGGGCCTCCAGCCGCTGTGTCTGTGACAGGTTGCCATGGAGCTCGCCCACCTGCAGCCCCATGAGCCCCAGGAGGATGTGCATGCGGTGGGCCTGCTTCTTGGTCTGGGTGAACAGCATCACGTGGTCAGTGAAGGTCCTTGTCAACAGAGCTGGCAGGGAGAAAAGAGTGAGCCAACAGCCATTTCCAAAACAGACTCCTTCCTTGCATGAGAAGCGCTGCTGCGTCTGGCGCTGAGAAGACAGGTGAAGTCTCTGCCCGTGAAGCTCATATTCTATGGCGGAGACAGGGAGGCTGACTGACTCCTAACGGTGATAAATGCTGCGAGACTGCAGGGAGGATGGGAAGGTAGCTTCAGGGCTGGCCTCTCTCACAGGCTGAATGACATGGCAGGCTCAACCAGAAGATTTGTGGGGAGATTCCAGGCAGAGGAAAGAGCTTGGTGGGTTTTAGAAAGCAAAGGCCGAGTTTGGCTAGAGCGCCACTGGCCAAAGGCAACAAGGCAGGCAGAAGCCAGTCCCAGAGGGTCTCACAGGACTCGCTAGGGCACCTGGATTTTAGTCTGAAAGCAAAAGAAGAACCCAGAGGGCTTTAAATAAGGAAATAAACGGGGTAAACGGTCGTGTGTAAACAATCGTTTTAAATGATCTGCAGCGTGGAGAATGTATTACCAAGGCACAAGGGTGGAAGGAGCATGGCAAAGCGGCTGCTGTAATAATCTAGGGGAAGGTAGTGGCCTGAACTAAGGGCCAGAGGGGCAGGTGAGTTCAGCAGAACATAAAGAGGACTGGATGGTGGGAGAGAGGTGAGACGATAAAAGAAAGGGAGAAAGGACTCAGCGAAAGTGATGGGGTAGATGAATGGCAGCAGTACACACTGGATTCGGGGAGACCAGATAGAAGAGGCGCCAGGGTGAAACCCAAGGGCTTCAGTGTGGCCCCTAGGAAGCCAAGGGACTCAAGCACCCCACCCTGCCCAGCCCTGCCCTGGGCTTCCTTCCACCTGCCACGATGGCCTCCCGGTCCCCTTCCCGATTCGGCCGGATCCGGATGAACTCCTGCCGCAGGAAGGGGGCCACATCCGTGTTGCTGTTCACAAATATCCGGACAGGGTTCTTCAAAGAAACAGAAGCCAGATCTTTGACCTGCCAGGCACAAAGACAGGCATGCTCATCTGCCTGCCAAGAGGCAAGCTGTGCTGGCCCCAGGCCACCCGCTCTGGCCCAGCCCGGGGTCCTCTGCACTGCCTTCTCCATTCGCCTCGCCGAGGAGAAACTCCACGGCCCACCTCATCTGTCATCGTAGCTGAGAAGAGCATAGTCTGGCGGTGGTGGGAACACATTCGGATGATCTCTTTCATCTGCTCCTCAAAGTATTCGTCCAGCATCCTGGTGAGCAGAGAAGGGAAGGAGTCAAGAGAAAAGCCTAAGCTCACTTCTGTCACAGTGAGGGGCAGAAAACATCAGACAGGCAATGGTTTGATGTTGTCGTAGGTTAGGTTTCAGGCTCATTTATTTATTTTATTAGCATTAATATTGTCATTTTACCCTTTCAACAAGATTCACTAGGAATCATCATTTGGCCACATTCACTTAATCTCTTTTTTTTGGCTGAACTATTTGCAAATGAGTTGCAGACATCATGACACCCTACCCCTGAAATATTTCAGCACATGTTCCCTAAGAAGACCTTCTCCTCCATAACCACAATGTCATTATCACACCCAAGAATTTTAAGTGTTTGACTATCTAAACTACAGTTCATATTCAAATTTTCCTGTCCCCAAAATATCATTTTATAGCTGTCTTTTTATTTTTTTTAGTACAGGAAGCAAAGTTCTTGTGTTGCATTTGGTTGTCGTGTCTCTTTAGTCTCCTTGAATCTAGGAAAGTCCCCTGACCCCTTTCACACTCTGGATTTATCTAATTATTTCCCAGTGACCAGATTTAATAAGTCATTGCTGGGAGAATGTGCAGAGGTACACTTCGCTTTCACTCCATCAGGAGACACAGATCGTCATTTTATTTCAGTACCGCTGATGTGCGTTTGATCACGTGGTTAAAGTGGTGCCTGCCAGCTCTCTCCACTGGTAAAGGAACCTCTTCCTCTTTGTGGGTAATAATAATTGGTGAGACAACTTTGATTCCAGGATTTTTCAACTGACCCAGTCCTGCACACTATTTCTCCATCTAGTTCAGGCTCCAGCTGCGAATCAGGTATTAATTGTTATTATATATTAATATATTAATTGTTATGTCTTCTTAATCTGAAACTTTCATAGCCTTTCCTGGTCTTCTGACACACTGACATGTTTGAAGCATACAATTCCCTTCCCCTTTAAAACCTAAACCAGATCATGTCCCCTTGGCTTAGAATGATCTCCTTTACTTCCTTTGGGCCTCAAGAATGGTTCGTTTGCTCTGGGTGAGTCAGTCAATTGGTTATGCAACACTCACTGAGCACCTGCTAGTGACCTGGCCCTGGGCACTGGGTTGGGGCAGCAAGCGACAGTAAGCCGGGCCATCACAAATATGACATTCCAGGCAAGAGGAGGGACACGACCAACACACCAGCATTCAGGTAACAATGCAGGAGGTCAGGGAGGCATAAGGTAGGAATGGAAGGATGAGGAAGGAGTAGAGGGGAAGGCAGGAACTATTATAGAGAGTGGCTGGCAAAGGCCTCTCAGATAAGTGACAGCTGGAGCAGAAACCCGAGGAGGTAAAGGAAGTCATTTCAAGCTGTGGGAATGGCAAATGGAGAAGCCCCTAACTGGACAAATGCTGACAGGATTCACCAATGGATGTCTTGTGGGGTGTGAAAACGAGGAGATAAGAATGATGCTAAGAATTTTGGCCTGAACAACTGGAAGGAAGGAGCTGCCATTCATTCACTGAGCAGAAAAAGAGCAGGACAATCTGGGCTGAGTATGGGCAAAGGCCCACACGTGAGCAGTTGAACCAGTGAGAGCCGTGTAGAATAATACAGGGTGGCAGGTATTTCAGGCGCACCTGTCAGCCTCATCCAGGATGAGCACCTCGATGCTACTCAGGTGGAAGGAAGGGCAGTTATGGAGGTGATCAATGAGTCGGCCCGGGGTGGCGATGAGTATGTCAGGTGCTGCCCGAAGAGCTGCTTCCTGAGACTTCACATCCAGGCCACCTGCAGAGAAAAGAGCCCACCAGGTGGCCAGTTCAGTCAGTCACCAGGACTAACTGAGCCCTGCCACCTGCCAGGTCTCATGCCAGATGCAGAGGGAACAGCAGAGAATAAAACTGACGAAGGCTTCGCTTGTGGATTTTACAATCTGTTTGGAAAGACAGATTATTTAATTACAACTGTGCTAAGTACAAAAATCAAAAAGATAATGACAAAAATGCACTTCAGAATAGGACAATTCAAGCATCAGAGAACTGAGAGAAGCAGCTGCAAAATTGATGTCTTTCTACATCACTTTTGACTTCCCATTGCACAGGAAGAGTAAAGTGAAAGTTAGATAACCCCATCACATAACATCATCAGAAAAATTCTGCCCCAAAGAATATTCGATTCATTATTCATGCAAAGCGGGAATTATATCCTAAATTTAGTACCCAGAAAACTTTTTTTCCATAATTTTGAGGTTTCATTCTGTAAGACGGGTTAAGTCTCAATCAAACCCTCTCCCCTCCCACCACTAAGTCCTATGAAAACACATCATCCAGTTTTTAAGTGGATTCAGTTGAATGGGCTTTCCTGTCACCCGCCACCCTCAGATGGTGGGGCATATCCATGTTCCACCATGTCATAGTCTCTCAGCGGCTGGCAGCCCTCAGCTAGACACTCACCCACAGCCAGGCAGGTAGTGATGTTGCAGAACTGGGCCAGCTGCTTGGTGACGGAGTGTACCTGGATGCCCAGTTCTCGGGTGGGAACCAGCACCAGCACGCGAGTTACGGGAGCCTGGCGGGGTTTGTAGATTAGACGCTCCAAGACGGGCAGCGCAAAAGCAGCAGTTTTACCTGGAGGCAAGGACAGGGAGAAAGCAAGGAGGAGAACTTCGGTCGCTTCAAGGTCTGGGTTTTCACCTGAGCACAGAAATATGTACGACAGTCATGGGTCACAGGTTGCAGGGGGTCTAGTGAAGGTCATTTTCACTTAAAACTATCAAGGTATCTGTGACCGTGACTTCCTGTCTCTGCCATGATAGGCACCCTTGGTAAGAGTAAAAATTTTATAAAAGGAACGTTCAATGTAACATTCTCTATTAGTGCAGTAATTTATACAGTAAAATTAGTCATGTAATAAAATACTATGCAACCATTTTAAAAGAGTAAAGACCATTTAAAGAAAAAAAATACATACAGTAAGTTTTTAAAAAAGAGTTACTAAACAGAATATGTAGTCTTATTACATTAAAAATTATACTTGTATATTTACCACAGTAGCCTTTTCATAGTCAACCCAAAGGCTGTTCTAAGTTGAACATTCTCCTTCTGCCTCTCCTCTCCCCAAGTCCCTATCCTTTTTACCTGTCCCAGTGGCTGCACAGGCACAGATGTCCTTCCCCAACAGTCCCACAGGTATGCACGCCTTCTGGATGGGGGTAGGCTGCTTGAAGTTCATGGCGGTAATGGCCTGAACACAAAAGAGAGGGTTAGACAGAGAGAGACAGTGTCTCAGCGTGAAACAAACAAAGGTTTCCAAACTAGTGGTAACTACGGAAATCCCTCCCAGTCATCTGATCCATTTTTATTGTGTGTGAGGCCCTGTTCTAGGCAGAGGATACAGCAGTGAAGAAAAGAGATAAAAGCCCTGCCCTCGGGAATCTTACAATCCGGGAGAAAAAAAGAAACCAGAAACAGACACATGTCCTATGGAGACAAATGCTAAGCAGAAAACTACAGCAGTCGAAGCGGCTGGGGAGGGTAGAAGGAGGGAATGAGTGCAATTTACAGTAGGGTGGTCAGGGAAGCTGTCACTGAGCAGGGGATACTGAGTGAAATCCTGGCAGAGGCGAGGAGCAGATTTCTGGAAGAATCTTCCAGATAAGGGGAACGGCAAGTGCAAAGGCCCTGAGGAAGAGGGTGCCTGACCTGTTTCAGGGCCAGCGAGGCCAGTGTGGCCAGAGCAGAATGAGTGCGAAGAGACATCAGCAGAAGGGACCAGAGGGGGCAGGGCTTTACTGAGCAAGATGGAACTTTTTGTTTAAGAGGGTTCTCTGGCAGCTGTGTGGACAACGGAGTTTAGGGGGACAAAGAGCCCAGTTTTGTGGTGACTTCCAAAAGAAGCCGCTACCTTCAGAAGAGGACGAGAAAGGTTCATATCCTGGAATGAAAGGTTTTCATCATACTGGGATGCATCTTCAAAAAACCCTCCTGCTTCCTACACCAGAAAATCAAAAGACAGAATTCAGCAAAAAAGAAAAAAAAAAAAAAAAGGCCCAAGAAAACATATGACCTTGAAATCCTTTTAGGTTGCAAAAACAAGCTGCACACTGTTTTCTAAGCCCATGCTCACCTGTCCTTTCTTCTTCTTCTTCCGTTCCTTTACTTTGAGTGTATCTACGGAGAAAAACATAATCAGGGACCGTACTTATTGAGCATTTACAACCTGCTAGACATTGTCCTACGTGTTTTATGTGAATACCTCACTGAATCCACACAACAACCTGAGGGAGTGACTGTCATTAGCCTCGTTTCAGAGATGAGGTCACTGTGTGGCAGAGCAGGTAAGTAATTCACCTGAAGTCAGACAGGAAGCGAACCCACCGAGTTGCAGAGGCCAGGCTCTCAACCATTATGCTATGAAATGATGCTTTAGCATTCATTTCTGTAAGAAATATCTACGGAGCACCCACTACCTGGTTAGACCTATCACCTCAAATAAATTTTGAGTCACAGAAAGGCTGGCAGCTGTGAGAGGCTGGAAATGAGGAAAAGAGTACAGTCTGCCTGCAAAGTACACCCTGACAAAGTCCCAAGAAAAAAGAAGCTGAAACAGAGTTCAACATGGAGATGTTAGATTTATGCTCTGTTTAAAAGCACATAGGAAATCCTACAGAGTCAAGGACAACATGTTCCAATTTCCTGTTGTCTTTTCTGACGGCGCCACTGCATCATCTACCTGCTTTGGTGAGGATGTTCTCATCAGCTGATGAGTAGTCAGTCTCCGATTCTTCATCTTCTGAGCCTTCCTCGTCTTTCCCTTCAAGGTCTTCCTGCTCCTCTGGTTCAGAACCTTCCTTTGCTTCTTTCTCCTTCTCTGACTTCCCAGACTTGGCTTCTTTATCCTGGAAAGAAAAATTATAAAAAGCAAGGCATCTACCAACTTCAAGAAGCCCCAGAACCTACGAAGAACAGTATTATGTTCTCTAGCCTGGGCAGAACGCTATGTGAATTCTGAGTGAAGCCTGCCTGCACCGGCTGCACTTCGACTCAGGCTTGAAGAGAAATGGTGGAGCAGTGTTGAGAATCAAGCTGTGGGCTTAACTACAAAGAGAAGGAACTGCTTTGCTTTCTCACCTCTGTTTTCCTTTTCTTTCGAACTTTCTCAATCTTCTCATCTAATGTAGTCGCTGCCCTCTGCAGATAAAAATAAAAAGATGAAAAGAATACACATATGGGCAAGAGACAAAGCAAAGTTTCTCTAAGGGCTAGGTCTCAGATGTTAATATAGAAAAAGATTGTCTGTCCAGATTAATCAATCTGTAGGTTATTTACAGCCAAAAAACATTAAAATAAGTGGTCTTTGTGTATAAGCTTTAAATTACCTGGAACCAATAAAAATATCTATATTTTGGAATAGTAAACACCTATTTTGGAAGGTGTTTACTATTCAGAATGATACAATCACCAAGTGATGTCACATTATATGTGAATACTACTTAGAAAAACTCTTAAAACTCTTTCCTTTACCATAATTTAGCTTATTAATAAATGCTGAAATCTGAGCAAATTCAGGTAATGCTGGATAGTGCTAAAACTTTAGAAAGGGTAAAGTAATGGCAAGTCCCCTTTGTGCGTCCTCAAAACACCCTAAATTGCTATGGCACTTACCATGATTATGGGTAACTGTTATCACTTGTCTAGCTATTTTCTATCATGCTAGACTATAAGCTTTATAAGACCAAATCTTTTGTTACATTGGGTCCATATGAATAGAATAGGGGGAAAAAATCCTCTTTTTAACATGACCTTGAAAAGACGTTGTTTTATTTCAATCAGAACAAGTTCCAGCAGGGTCTGAATTAAACTGCTCTGAGCAGGCAATATTTCTCTTTGAAGTGCATGAAACAGAAAACAATTTTCAAGCATTTTCTGGCTTGTTAACCATATTTAAAGAAAAACATGGGATCTTGGCAAACAAGCAGATGACAATGACATCTGTGGCAGCTTTGGCTGTGCTGGGTAGGTACCAGGGACCTTAAACGTGCGGCCATATGAGATTACCTGGCAAATGACAGAATGACAGTATCTGTGGGGAAGAGTCTAGCTATCGAAAATACCACTACCAAGGGTGTTTGCTAGATTGTTCTCTGTTATAAAAGTTTCTTTCTAATATTTGAAACAAGGAGTGAACACTTAAAAAAGAGACCATTTTTAACATAGCTATGTTCATTTTTCTTAAGTCGAGCAATTTATATGTGATGTTTGGTATTCCTAAACCATCGAACCAGTATTATCAGGTTTCCTCTAAGACTTTTTTTCACATTGTAATATCTATAAAATCGAGAAAGGTCTCTCTTATTATATACACTGAAGTTAGTGTGAGTTCACGATCCCCTCATCCAGGAAAAGCTATCATAGACATTTTAATGAAGGAATAAAATATTTCTGATACTTCTAAATATCATCTTTAGATCAATGAATGTGTTTGTAACTAAAGTCCACAATGAAACCATTTTGCAACATTTTATACTTGTTTAGTTTTAATCAAGACTGTGGGGTATTTGTGACCACTCCTCCCTATCCCATCAAAACTATACCACATAATTCCCAAAGAGTTCCAGTATCTGCCGAATGTAAGCAGATGGCAAAAGGCAGTGAGGTCAGGATTAGACCCCATAATCCATTGTCCAACCTTAAAAGCCCAAGGCCTGGAACTGCCTATCATTGTCAGTCTCACCTTCTTCTTGAGCTGGCTCATGACATCAGCCATGGCCCAGCTGCCATCGTACATCCCCTCCTTCTCAGTGAAAAGAAAGTCAGGGTTGAAATCGGCACTACGGGTCTTCTGCAAGGCTTTCTGCTTTCTGCCCAGCACGATGGGCCCCTGAGAAGAGGGAGAAGAAGGGTGACTATGGAACTAAGACGGAAGAACACCAGAAAAGGAAGAAGAAAATGAGGGTACCGAATAAATGAGAAATCTACACGGCAAAAATTGACAGAAGACAAGAAGAAACTGACCAACCTACATTTGTTATGGGAAATTTTAACATACCGCTCTCAGTAACTGATAGATTAAGCAGACAAAAAGAGTAAGTCTGTAGGAAATTTGAATGGCACAATTAATAGGCTTCATTCCGATGAACATATAAAGAACACTGCACCTACCATTAAAAAAATGAACATTCTTTCTGAGTATACATGAAATAATTGCAAAAGCTGATCACGCAGTGGGGTCTTTAATCAAATCTTCAATAAGTTTCAAGACAAATCAATATTTTTCTTGAAATATACACTCTGTTCTCTGACCACAATTCAATTAAGTTAGAAATCAATAACAAAAGGATAACTTTTAAAACCTATACATTTGAAAATTGGAAAGAAAGGAGAACTGATTGGCTGAACTATGGCTTCAGGAGAATAAGTTGAGAAGAAAAAACCCTGAGAACTAAGAAGTGCTATGCTGACTTTTTCCCCCTCTACTTGAGTTAAACAACCTTATAAGGATTCTGATCCTAAACTTACTTCATTATTAGTAATGATTAAGTATCATTTCTCGGGTACCTAGTTTAACTATTGATACTTGTATAAGCACTTCATACTTGAAGTTTTGCATTATCATTTGCCATATTTGCGTCAGTCCTTTATTTATGTTTTTTCATTCAAGAACTTAAAAGATCATTCTGGCTGCTAAGTGGAGAATACACTAAAGAGGGCCAAAAGAAAGAGTTAGAGACCAGGTATGTTAGTACTGCAGGTATCAAGGCACAAGATGGCAGTGGCCTGGACTAAGATGGAAGCAGTGTGGATGGAGAGAGGGGCAGAAGCTTAAGAGAGATTCCTGACCTAGCCTTCAGAACATTGGAAGGAAGTAAGGAGAAAGAAGCTGTCAAGGATGACTCCGAGCATTCTGGCTTGAGATGGAAGCAAGTTATGGGACATCCTAATGAAGTGTCAGTCGTCAGGTGAAGTCATGGAGAGGAAAACATCCTGGCTGGATCTTTGAAGGGTGAGCACCTTTTTCGTGACACTAATCCCTTTTTAATTGCTATGCTGCTTAATGTCTGTCCCCCACCTTCCATCCCAACATAAGCTTCAGGAGAGTAGTGTCCTTGCCCAGACTGTTCACTGCTATGTCTCGAATGCTTACTACTAGCTGTAGCACATGTAAGTATTGAATAAATACTGGCATAACGAACAAATGGATAACCAAGGTTCTTTAAGCAGGAACCAGGACCGGCTTCACCTCTGGAACTTTATGCCACAGGACCTGGATTAAGTATCATCTCAGTGACTGGACAGAGCTCACCAAGACGAAACGGAATGGCACCGGCACTGAGCGGAAAAGCTAGGGGCGAGCAAACTGAGGAAGATCTTGGGGTCCCGGTGAGAGGCTCTTCTAGGGACACAAGCCAGCCTGGCTCTGGGATGCTGAGGATTTGAGGGCAGGGGCGGAGGAATCTCGGGGATGGGAAGCAGTCAAGGAAACCCGACTGCCCGCCGCTGTGCCCCGACCCCAGATCCGCTCATACCTCCTCCTCGTCTCCGGAGTCAGACTCGGGCTCCACTGGCACCTCGTCATCTTCGCCTATAGTTCCGATTAAACCCAGCTCCTCAAGCATGTTGCCGGAGCAGTCACTTCCGGAAATCAGCACCGTGCGCAGGCCAACCTTGCTTTTCCGAGACGCTCTCGTCGTCACTGCTGACATCACTTCCGTTTTGCGGAAGCCCCGGCAGAGCAACTGCGCCCGAACTCTTCGAGTGCGCATGCGGCAACGTGGGGCGTGGCTTCGTGAGCCGAAGTCAAGGGGCGGGGATTTGTTTTAGTCAAATTCTATTGTCTGGCGTTCAGAAAGCAGTGCAACGTTGGAGGATGTTTGCGAGTTGTGAAGAAGTCTAAAGAGGTGCGTGGATAAGCTCTGTCTGTGTATATTTAGGTACAAGAAATTGTGGAAGACAACGCAATAAACGGTTAGCAATGGTTGTCTCTGAGGGGTAGAACAAGTGATTTTTATTTTCTTAGATTTTTTTTCCCCACAGTAAACATTTATTTTCATAAAAAATTTAAATTTGTATAAAAATTAAACAAAAATGAGAATACCTAACACTATGGAACATTTACCATGTGCCAAGAACTAATGTAGGTTCTTTTACATGTATTAAGTAATTTAATCCTCACAACAGCCAAGGCAGAAGGTACCATTACTATCATTTTATAAAGGAGGAAACTGAGGCACAGAGGGGTCCTAAGGTCATAGAGCCAGTTAATAACAGAGCCAAGATTATAACCCAGGCCATGGCTCCAGGGTCCTTAGGAAAGTAGGTCTTAGGCTTGCCAAGAACTTTTCTTCTCATTTCTGCTTACGGAAATACTACTTACTCTTAAATGCAGCCCTTGATTACTTCCTCTAGGCAACTTTTCCTAAACAACACCTCCTACATGAAGCCCCCCTAGATTGCCCATCTTCCTTCATTGCTCCTCCATATCAACACTTTTACTTGCAGCAGAGTTGTAGTTGTACCACAAAAGTAAGTTCAGTTTTTTTTTTTTTAAAGAACCATTTTAAAATATACAATTCAGTGGCATTAATTACATTCACAATGTTGTGCAATCGTCACTGCTCTATGTTTACAAAACTTTTTAATGGGCTCAAAGAGAAACTGTACTGGTTAAGGAATAACTCCCCATTTTCTCACCCCAGTCTTTGGTAAGTTCTTATCTACTTAACTGTCTCTATTAATTTGCCTATTTTAGACATTTCATATAAGTTGAAATATACAATGTTTGTCCTTTTGTGTCTGGCTTATTTCACTTAGCACAGTGTTTTCAAAGTTCATCCATGTGGTAACATGTATGAGAACTTCATTATCCATTCTTTTGTTGATGAACACGGGCTGTTTCCCACCTTTTGGCTATTGTGAATAATGCTGCAACGAACATTGGCATACAAGGATATATTTGAGTCCCTGTTTTCATTTCGTTTGGGTATATACCTAAGAGTGAAATTGCTGGGGAATATGAAAATTCTATTGTTTCGCTTTTTGAGAAACCACCAAACTGTTTTCCACTGTGATTGCACCATTTTACATTCCCGCTAGTAGTGTATGAAGATTCCAGTTTTTCCACATCCTCGCTGATACCTCTTATTTTCCATCTTGTTTTTTTTTTTTTTTAATTATAGCCTGAGACCTCTTTTAATGGCAGCTATGGTGGTGGCCAGTTTCATACCCTGGCATCAGATGCAGCCTTGCGAATGAAGAACACCTACTGCCACTTCATTGAGTATTATTTCCTAGACCAGGATTTCTTTACCTCTGGTGCTACCACCTAGTTCAAGTCACTCTCTTCTCTCAACTGGACATCTGCAATAACTCTACCCTTGCCTCTCTTCAATCCATTCTCCACACAACATAGAGAGCTTTTAAAAACCCAAATCGTGTTGCCTTGGTCCCCTGCCGAAACATTAGAATACACTTAGAATAAAATCCTGACTCCTTCATGTTGGCAACATGTTCTGGTCCCTCCCTACTCCAATAGCTTCTGCAACTACTGTCCCCCTTGTTTCCTACACTCCAGCCATACTGGCTTCTTCCTATTACATGAGATGATCTCCTACCTTAAGACCTTTGCACTGACTGTTCTCTCTGCCTGGAATGCTGTTCTCTCCACTCAATTCATGTCTGGCTCTTTCCCATCCTCAGGTTTCAGCTCAGATGGCACCTCTTTGGAGAATCCTCTGACCACCCTATAAACTGGCAGTGCCCATCCTGCAGTCACTATCTCATTCTGCTTTTATTTCCGTTATAGCACTCTTTGAAAACATTATATTTCTTTATTTGGTGAACTTGTTTATAGTCTGACTCGATGTGAGCTCCAGGAAGGTGAAGGCCATGTCTATCTTTTTCACTGCTATATTCCTACTGCTTGGCACGTAGTAGGCATTAGTAAACACTAAGTGAATAAACGAGTGAACGTCCTTATGTGTTTTTTAAATTGTTTTCAGATGTATATCAAGTCCATATGTCAGTGTTTGCTCAATTCAAATAGATCTCATATCAGCTCTGACTCCCTCCATCCTTACCTGAGCCCTGGAGGGCAGGAACCATGTCCAACTCACCCTTGGAGCAGTACTGTAAGTGCACTATCTATAGTGAAAGACCAGCACTTAAAAATTTCAATCCATTGCAGACTGGCACTTTTGTAAAATATAGTAAAATTGTGGTGATTTCAGTTTGCTAGAAAACTTTCTGAAAGCTTATTCTCAATTTCTGTAGTAATATTGTCCTAAGCAGGTAATAAACAGTTTACACATGGGCACCAGTTGCAGTCCACATATAGTTAAAGGGTCTTCTACACTTCAGAGTCATAAAGGATTCTCCTAGGAGTTCTTTCGGTATTTTTATGGTTTCCTTCTTTTCATTTAAATTCTTGATCTAGTTGGAATTTTTCCAGGTATGAGATATGAAGTATGGATTTAACTTTGTTTTTTTATTTCACAGAGGCTACATAGTTGTCTCAAACCATTTATTGAATGAAATCCATCTTATCTTCGGCGATTTGATATACTCATTTATTGAATACTAAGTGCCAACATGTGTTTTTTTGAATTTTTCTTGTCTTCCACTGATTTGTGGAATTAGACACTAGTACCTAACAATTTTAATTAGCAAGGCTTTATAATACGTTTACTACTTGATCGGGCATGTTCAGTAATGTTTTATGTTCATTTTTCCATAAGAATTTTAGACATGGCTCATCTAATTCCAAAACAAAATCCTGTTTATGTTTCTGCTGGGCTCTCCTCATATGTCTGTCTTAATGATGCAGAGTCTTGCTAGGCAAGAACATAGCTTATATTTCTATTTGTTCGAGGCTTTCTGTGTCCTTCTGTAGAATTAAAGTTTTTTCTTCAAGTAGATTGTACATTGTTATTATAAAGTTTATGCTTATGAAGTTTTTATGGCTTTGCAAATGGGGTCTTCCATTATATCTTCTAAATGTTGTCACCCTAATATTCTGAAATAGCCTTAGGAGAGCAGTCTGTCTCAAATAATCTTGAGAATTACTCATCTAAACTAGCAAGTAGTTCTCAACCTTGTTTTCCCTTGCAACACATGGTATAGGTAACTTTGACATGCACCAATCAATCCAACAGGGACTCAGCAGTTGATGGAAATTTATGTGTACCAGGCACTGTGTTATGGACGGGAGCCACCAGAGTGACCAGGATAGCCTGTGTGTCTGCCCTCATGGAAATTGATCGCATAGTCCTAGCCAAACAAAGCAAACTCAGTAAATAATTGAATATAAAGATGCAAAGTTGTGCTAAGGGGCTGTGAGAACAGAGATAATTCATCAGGTATTAACATCCATTAACATCCACACCTAAGGCTTCAGTGACCTCTCAGATGATACTCACACCTGTGTCTCTATCCTTGCCTTTCCTCTGAGCTCCAAACCTGCCATTTCCACTCCCCCATCAGGAGGTAGAGTCTAATTCCCCTGCCCTTGGATCTGGACAGGCTGTGTCTTGCTTGTAGCCAATGAACTACAGTAGATGTGGCTCTAGGTGACGTCCAAGACTAAGTCACGTAAAGCAGTTCAGTGTGACTCTGCCTTGCTCTCTGGGATACTTACTCTTGAAGCCTTCAGCTGCCATTCCAAGGCAGCTTAAGTATTATTTAACTATTCTGATTCACAGTTAGAGGGCCCCCCAAGGCTGCCATGCTGTGAGGAAGCTCAAAGTAGTCCATGCATAGACCATGTTGATAGGCCCGAAGGCTTCATGAAGAGAGAGCATCCCAGTCAGTGCCCAGGTGCTTTATCTGCCAGTGGTCCAGCTCTACATTCTAGAGACCCCAGATTAGAAAGACCTAGCCAAACTCTTTCCAGGTTCCTGACTCACATATCTATGACATTATAAAATGATTGCTGTTCTTTTAAGCCACGAAATTTGGGAGTGATTTTTTTTTTTTTGTAGCGATAGTAACTGGAACCTGGACCATGTGCTGTCCTGCCACAGCGTTTTGTACATTCTTTCCCCCTACTTGGAACACTTCCTACACCCTTTTGCCTGGTTACCACCTTCAGACCCTTTGGATCTTTGATAAACTACAATGCTTCAGGTTGCTCTGTCCCTAAACCCTGAAACTAGGGTTTCATAAAACCCCGTAACACTCACTGTGTGCCTTTCCTTCCTGTAGTTATCACAGTTGCATTTGGAGATTGTCTTTCTTTAGGAAGAAGATGGAAGAAACTGCCTATTAAGTTAGTTACATTAAATTCTGTGTATTCCTTCCCAGAAGATAAGTTATATGTATTTGTAATTAGGAATGAGAACATGCAAAGCTCATAAAAGCCCTGTGAGAGGTTGATTTTTATCTAAAAATTATGCTTGTTATTTAATGTATCTATTAAAAAGTAGAAAAAGAAATGAGCTATCAGCCCACGAAAAGACATGGAAGAAGCTTAAATGCATATTATTAAGTGAAAGAAGCCAATCTGAAAAGACTACATACTGCCCCATTCTACAGATATGAGGTTCTGGAAAAGGCAAAACTATGGAGATAATAAGATCAGTGGTTGGGGGAGGGAGAACAGTGCTGTAGGGATGATCACCCCAGAATGACAGGTGATCAGTCACTGATAGGAACAGACAGTTGCATGGGTTGCGCAGAGCATCACACTTAGGATAGCACAACGCTAAAGAGAGTACTAGCACTCTTCATATGGGGAATATGAGACAGGGCATCAAGCTCTAGGAATTCTCATGACCCCTGGGTA